ATCAACGACGATATAATCTCCCAGTAATAGATGAGATTGCCGTAATTTTACTGGGTGATGGAACCGAGTCAAGTGGAATGAGAGACATTATTGTGAATCTGAGAGAGAATAATGGGTTGATGCAAATTAATGAATGTCACCAGGAATATTTACCATTGCATTATGTTTTATTATTCTCTCATGGTGAGCTTGGATGGGAACCTGAGTTTAGACAATGGGATGTCTTATGTGGTCAGCCTTCAACTACTAGACTCACTCGGCTACAATTTTATAGCTATCGCTTGTTTGAACGCCCTATCGAGTATTCAACAATTTTGAGAGGAGGCAAGTTATGCCAAGTGTTTGTAGTAGATGCTTGGGCCTCAACTGAACAAAACCGGTTGATGTACTATAAGCTTAACCAAGGAAAATTTCATGCTGAACTTTACCAAGGTCTAATAGATGTTAATGCTGATGAGTTGGGACCTGAACAAATTGGTCAACGCATGATTTTGTCATCTTCATTTACTGGTAGTGCAAGACATATGTTTGAGATCTTTCAAGATTCAATAGCTATCACGCGATATAACCAACACCCAAATATTTTCCTCACCATGACTACAAATCCCAAATGGCCTAAAATTACTTCAGCTTTGTTGCCATATCAAAACTCTCTTGATCGTCCTGATTTGGTTGCACGTATTTTTGAGTTAAAGAGACGTGCTTTGATAAAGGAGATAGAAATAAAGCAAGTATTTGGAAAAAAAATAGCACATGTATTCATAATTGAATTTCAAAAACGGGGGTTACCGCATATGCATGTTCTTTTGTTTCTTCATGGTGCAGACAAAATTCAGACATGTGCCCAGGTTGACAAAGCGGTTTGTGCTGAATTTTCAAGTTATGACAATGATCCATTCTTTTTTGAAATGATTAAGAGTTGTATGGTACATGGACCATATGGTGCTCGAAATCTGCAAGTATCATGTATGAAAAATGGTATATGCACTAAGAGATATCCTCGAGCTTTTGTGGATTCAACAAGTATGGACAAAGATGGATATCCTGTCTATCGTCGTCGCAATAACGACCAAACGTATATTGTGAGGGGACAAGAGATTGATAATAGGGATGTTGTACCATACAATCCCTATTTATCAAGAATGTTCAATTGCCACATTAATGTGGAAGTGTGTGCAGGTTTGAAATGCGTGAAACATATTCATAAGTATATCTATAAAGGTCATGATCGCACAACCATGGTGTTGGGATGAATAAATGAGATTCAACAATATCTTGACACAAGATATATTGGACCACCAGAAGCTGCTTGACAATTATTTGGTAAACCGATGCATGAAGAGATTTCAACGGTTGTACGATTGACACTCTATTTGCCTGGTATGCATCTTGTTGTCTTTAAACCTGTACAACCATTTGATAAAATCCTTTCTAAAGCAAGACAAGAAGATACAACTCTGATTGATTTTTTTAAGCGTTGTGGTTCCAATGAATCTGCACACGCATTAACCTATCAAGAATTTCCCCAGAAATTTGTTTGGAATAAGGCAACGAAGATGTGGACTCCAAGGCAAAGGGGATATACAATTGGTAGAATATACTTTGCTAGCCCTAATTCAAGTAAACGATTTTATCTTCGTCTTTTACTCACTATTGTTAAAGGACCAATATCATTTGATTCTTTATGCACGGTCAACAATATTGATTATGAGACGTTCAAATTAGCATGTGTTGCAAGAAGACTTTTAGAAGATAATAAAGAATGGATACAACGCCTTCAAGAGGCTTCAATTATGAATACGAGGTATCAATTGAGGAGATTGTATAGTATAATTCTTACAGAATGCACTCCACTTCATCCACTTGCATTATAGAATCAATTTTCAAAACAGATATGTGATGACCTTGCACACAAGATTCGTACGATCTTTGGCATCGTGAATCCAACACAAGATCAGATAGAAAATTATGGGTTATATCTGATGAATCAACTTCTCCATGAGTTAGACATGGGTTTAATTGATTTTTCGCCTATGCCACAACCAATTGGGAACTAGAATGTAGTTGTTGGTAACAAATTGTTTTTTGAACATCAAAAACTCCAGAATGAAGTGCAACAAAAAATTTCTGATATTGACTGCCTTAATGAAGCACAACGCAATGTTTATGCTGCAATCACTTCGTCTGTATTGGACAATGAGGGAACTACATTTTTCTTGAATAGGGGTGCTGGAATAGGAAAAACATTTTTATACAATACAGTTGCTACTAAATTGCGTAGTCTTGGACATGTTGTTGTTGTTGTGGTTTCTTCCGGTATTGCATCATTATTATTAGTTGGAGGCCGCACCGCACATTCAAAATTTTGCATTCCTTTGGAAGTGCTTGAGAATTCAGTTTGTGGATTTACCAGGCAATCTATGCACGCAGAGTTGTTCAGAAAAATAAAACTCATAATATGGGATGAAGTTCCTATGCAGCATAGATTTTGTGTTGAGGCAATAGATCGTACACTCCAAGATATTTGTGACAGCAAAAAGTCATTTGGGGGTATCACTGTCGTTCTTGGTGGAGACTTTCGGCAAATCTTGTCAGTTATACCAAGGGGAGTTCGCGAGCAATTTATGGGTGCTTCATTGAGACGGTCTATGGTATGGAGGGATATACATGTTTTGACATTGGATTTAAACATACGTTTGAATAGAACAGATGATGGAAACACAGATTTTGCAAATTTCTTAATGGAGGTAACATTTCATTGATTTTAAATTTTGTGAATATATATTGAATATATTGATTTTGATTATTCACTAATTGTGTGCTTTTATTTTTAGATTGACACTAACCTATGAGAAATTATAAAACTTTCATCAATAATACACAAATGTAACAACCTCCATGAATTGATTTACAGTGTTTTTTCACGATTGGAAGTGGTTGGTACAATGACCCCAGAATTTTTAACTAAACGCATGATACTTTCTGCCCGTAATGATGATGCCAGTGCTATAAATGCTGCAGCATTGCAAATTTATCCCAGAGAAACAGTTACATATTTAGCTGCAGACAAAATGTCAGACGCTGATGAAATCGATTAAACCATCACAAATTGATTTCCTAATGAGTATTTGAACTCTTTGAATCCTTCAGGTTTTCCACCATTCCTTTTAGAGCTAAAAGTGGATTGTCCAATAATGTTGTTGAGGAACATTGCACCGAAAGATAGTCTTTGTAATGGAACGCGATTGATAGTTGTCAGATGTGTTATGTGTGTAATTGAAGCTAGAATATTAAATGGAGATAAATCTGATAACTTGGTCTTCATTGCAAAAATATCTTTGGCACCGACAACTTCTGAATTGTCCTTTCAAATGACTAGACGTCAATTTCTTATCTGGTTAACATATGTTATGACAATTAATAAATCTCAAGGACAATCTACGAAATTTGTTGGAGTTGATTTGCGAACACCAGTCTTTAGTCATGAACATCTATATGTCACACTATCTAGATGCACATTTTCTGATAGTTTACACATCCTTCTCCCTGAAGATGAGTCGAACTGCATGACAAATATTGTGTACCCTGAGGTTTTGTTATAATGGTTCGTATTCTACAAGGACGAAATGATATAAATTACTTGCAAGTTTATTTCTATTGATTGCAAACATTTTAAAATGTTATTTTATTGATCAAACATTTTATTTCATCTATAGAATTTGGATGAAGAAGTGCAGGAGTTAAAAAGAATAAATACAACTCATCCTTTGCGATGAGGTTGTTTGAATAAGGTAACTAAATTTATTTGTTATAGTTTATTTTTTATTTTCAAGTTTATAATTTTAAAATCTCTGTCGTGTACTAAATTTAACTGATTTTGTAAATGCTAGATTGTTGTACATTCCCCTAGTTGGAAGATGCAGATTTGGATTAATACAATAACATTCAAGGTTGTGATGGAGATAGAGTACTTACAATGACATGCAGATAATCCGCATTTTGATGAATTAGATTAAAGAATGACCCATTTTATAAATGTACTATATATAATTACGTTTTGTGGTCCATATTTCACTAAAGTCATGACATTTCGTGTTTAAAAATTATATACAGTGCCTTCAGACACATGATATAGGCAAGTTTAGGTTGTGTCCGAGTTCAATGCTTGGTTATTTCGTGTTCAAATTCAATGTTCGATTTTTTTTAGTTGCACTGTACCTCCAGGCACGAGTTATCCTTAGTGTTAAAATATAACATGATTCGTTAACATAATATGAAATTAGAGGACTTAAAATTTTGTTAAATCACTCATTTTATAAATGATTGGACTTGAAATGACACAGTTAATAAATTAATTGAATATTGGTAAAACAAACCAAAAGAAATACAAGACACAACACGAACCTGATATAATACAATTTATTATATATAAATTAATAAACGAATCAGATATAAATGAATATTTTTTTATACGAATCTGTCCAAATTCGCAAGCCTACTACTCATTAGTCTCATTTGGGATCTCCATGTAAAAGTTTATGAGTGGTGGATGAGTGAGTGTTACCGTAAAAGTTAATAAGACTCGCTCATCTAATAAATGATACGCATTTAAATTGTAATTTTTTAGATTTTATTTGAATTGTGTAATATTAATTTTTTCTAGATAAAAAAATGTTACACAATTCAAATGAAACTCAACAATTATAATTAAAATAAATATTATCCTTTAAATAAGTATAGGATGGGTGGATTTCAATAAAAAAATTGATAGGATCCACTTATACAATGGATAATATATATTTAATTTATAATTTTAAAATTTTATTTAAATTATGTAGGATTACTTTTTTCGGATGTAAATTGGGCAATTCCAAGTTTAAGACAGTTCTGTTCATCCAAAAGTTTCAACATCTTCCCGCCAACACTCTTGAAAGTTAAACAAAAGCCATTTGGTTGTCTCTCAAGTTGTGTTCCTGAACTCAGAAGCAAGAGTCAGAGAGATGAACACAAAACATTCATCAAGTAGAGTTTTGGGGCAGCGCTCGATTCCTTCAACATTCCTCTTCCGCTCTTCAAACAGGTAATCGATAAAACCCAAAATCACCATATGTTTTGTTGATCCTTAAACTGCACTTATGTTTTAATTTTTTCTGCTCCATTTCAGGTCCAATGATTGTACAGAATATGTAAAGGCCAAGCCTCCCGAAAAGGGTTCGCGGGTCTCACTCTCTGATTTCCTTGACCGGAAGCTTCAGAAAAGTTCTGTCCCACCCAAATCAGTTCAGGTGTTTTCCTTTTTGCTATATTTTGTTTGGTTTATGAGAAAACTGAGGAAAAGAAAAGAAATAGATTTTAATATCCAATGCTTTATGTTTTATTGGCTTTGAGTATTTGAAGTAGGCTCAGTGGAGTTTTTAATAGGATTAGCATCGTCTCCACAAGTAGATTCACCACAGTTCCCTCAATTCTAGATCAACCACATTGTTTGGTGGGTTACGCAAAGGCAATTAGTGCAATTGGAGTTATGATAACTAATATAGGATTAAGGGAATTGATTCAGAGCCCCTTTTAAGGTAGTGTTCAACCCAAAATATAGGGATCCACGAACAGGTCTCTTGAACCCAAATCATTATCTTGTTATTTGCGTGTCTGTTTTTTTTGTTAATAAGATCGATTTTTGTTGACTGGGCAATGCGGCACTTGTACAGAAAAGGAGAAAATAAGTAAAAACCCTTAAATGAAGTACAATAAGCTATAGGATCTACCAATCAAGCTGGGATTTGAAAACAAGTGCAAGTTAAGATCAGAGACAGTAACATGTAGTGATCTAAACTGACTCTATTTTTTAACTCGACTCCATTTTTCCAAGTTGGAATCATTATATTGTTTCGATTGCAAATGGAAATAATTTTCAGTTTACTTGAGCAACATAATTGCCTTAGGATCTTAGTGGAGGCTATGAAACTTTCAAAGGTTCTAAAATTTTAGGTGGAAAACAAAAATTAGTCTTTGAAGGTTTTGTTCGATCCAAATCAGTTCAATCAGCTACCTTGCATGCACCTATGTTTGCTTCTAAGATGGAGGAAACAAATGAAAAATGGAATTTAAGTATCTTATGCTTATGTTGTTTTATTTTCAAGTAATAGCAAATTCCCATGAATTGTGGAAAAAGTTGCATTAGGCCCACTATAAGTGAACATTTTAATTTTAAAAAGGCAGACTTTTGTTGACGAAAATAGAGCTTCTGTGATATGTCTTATGGTATTACAATTGCATAAATCTGTTTACATGTGAATATAGAGTTTTGGGTTTAGAGGTAAAGCATCTAATTCTTGACAGGGCAAGGAGAGGCCATTTTCGTCCCCTTTGGGCAGTAGCAATGTTAGTGGATCTACTGAAGTACAGAATGATGATAAGGAAAGAGGTGAAGCAGAGGTGAATGGTGCTTTTGATGCAGTGTTTGAAAAGTTTAAGCATACTAGAAAAGAGAATGAAGATTGTATAGGCCTGTGCACTAATGGTGAGGTTGGAAGTTCTAGCACAGATGATGTGCAACCATCAAGAAAAAGGAGTCGTCCTTTTGAAGGTTTGTCGTTGCATCTCAATCACTTGGCGCAATCCGTTTTTCTTACAGAAATTGTTAAATGCTGCTTCTAATTTCATCTTAAGTTTTGATGTTCTTTTCAATATTTGGCTAAATCTCTATTGACAAAACTTAAAATAAATTTAAAACTACAAGGCACTGTGAAAGTAGACATCAATCAACTTGATCACTTTGTGGGGTCTAGAGTATAATAAGTTTTGTGGGGAATTGTTGCCAGCAATTTCCAGATTTGTACCATAAGTGCTGAATGAAAGTTTCTACTTAAGGAGGGAATATAATTCTTAGCAACTTAAGTGCTTAATTCATTGGAGGAAAGCATGCAGGTAAAATTTGCTCCCCCATCCCTCCCTTCTAGCTTTACAGGGTGGGAAAAGAAACTTCATTCTTTTTAACACTCTTCCTCAAACAAAACAAAACAAAACAAAGCACACAACACAAAAGCAATATGATCTGCATCCTTCTCTGAATAATCTGCTTCCTTTCTATATTGTTGGTTTTAAGCTTTACCTATCACATAGGATTTGATTCGATGATGCCCTGCGATTGACAGTGATTTCATGCATCAGGATGAAATGCGTTTCTTTCTTGTTACTTTTATATTTATGTTCGAAATATGAGTTTTGTGCCATTAAAGGTGGTGAATATAAACAATCTGCTCACAAGCTTTTAGTAGCTCTTGGAGATGATCTGAGGAACAAGCCAAAAGTAAAGAAGAGTTTTGCTAGCAATGAGAAACCAAGGAAGCTTTTTCAACCACTGTAAGTATGGGCTCTCCATAATCATAAGCAGTCTAAAGCTATTCTTTATTCAGTTATATTACCCATTGGCCATTTGAATGCATTTTCTAATAAGTCAACTAAAGGAAAAAGAAGGTTTGGTTCTTGGTTCTGTTTAACAGATGCAAATGGGAGTGGCTGGTGGGACTGTGATATGGAAGGTGTTGATAATGATGAAGTAGGGTGCAATGAAGTCTGGGAAGGGGCTAGGCTCACTACATTGGGAGACTGGAGTGGCATTAGACCATTTTTAGTAAGTTAGCCATAACTCT